ATTCCTGTAAAATTAGGTAGTTTCCCATACTTAATTCTAAAAATGGATATTGGAGTCTTTCCCTAAAATTCGAGCAAGAATATTTCTTGGGTTAATTAATTTTTAAAATGGAGAGTGATAAACAAAAATAAGTCAAGAGAAGCCTTGAATTCGCTAGTGAAGTTCACTCTCTCATGTGTGCCATAAGGTTGTCCTCATCCAATTTAATGACGTTTCCACCTTGTAAATACACTCGGAGAGACTCAAACTGTGTATCTTGGAGGGTTAAGATACACTAGGTATTTTGATTATTAATGTCTCTCATATCATACGACGAATATCATATGTTGAATCCAGCGTCATTCGTTGTGCAAGAAATATTCTGACTATGGATAGTTTGAGTACAATAAACAGTCTCCAGTTCCAGATGAGTAATTCTCTTTATATACATAAAAAGAGATAAATTAAATAAACCTTTCAGCACGACCGACACGACCGATTCGATGAACGTAATTCTGCTTCTCATCCGGAAGGGTGACATTGATGACTACAAATTGGAGAAAAATTGGGCATAAAAGCTAAGATCCAAGGTGAGGATAACTTATTTAAATAAGAGTTACAAACAACTTGGAAAGAGATTCAATAAATATATATGATTAAAAGCTAAGTTTAATAAGATAACTTCATAAATATATGATAGAGGATCTTTGACCTCAATTTATTTTGAGGTTTAATTGTTAATTTGTGCAAAGAAGTCCTTGAAGCAGTGATATGTGGCCCAAAGCCATGTGCTGAGCTTTGGTCTATCCCACTGACAGATATCGCCAGAGCGAGAATGCATAGTTTAAACGAAATCACGAATCATTAAGCCCAGAATATTGACAATTTTCAGTCCTGCATACTTATTCTAGACACATGCTGTTATCTCGATAAGGTATCCTATGGTTTGATTAGCTAGTTCATAAAAAGTAATAAATATGGATTTCTTAGGGGATGCTTTAAAATGAAGTTTCTCTTTATATCTACAAATTAAGGAAGTGGCCTCAAGATGCATTATGATGTGAAACAGTCGTTATGTAATATAAATCTAGACGAGAGAACGAACACGAGTTAGGTCAATTTCATTAGCTTATTTAACTAATGACAAGTGTGAAAATAGGGTTAAATTAGTCAAACAATATGCTTATGTAGGCTGCTCGAAACAAGGACAAATTATAACTAAGTGATTTGTATCTATTACTCACCGAATGGAAGACCAGAAATATCGATTCCACGGGCAGCAACATCTGTACAAATCAGGAAGCGAACCTCTCCATTCTAAAATTTGAGCAAAGAAACAATTGAGACAATACAAAAGCAGATGCATAGTTGCACAATCTATCAGCAAGTTGAGTCATACAAATTATTTAGGGATATACGGATCTGATGGAATTAGGAATTGTTAAAGGGAACAAGTAGTTGGACTGCCAGAGGGATAGAGTTTGAGTTTCACTGGGAGCTAGGCTGAGAGTTAGCTCAGTAGATAGTTATATATTACGAAAACCATGAAGGTTGGAACATCCGTTTATTCGGAGTCAAATATACATAGTTTTTGTAGCTTAGCAAAAGCTGTAGGGAGAAAGCACCTCCACCCTTACGCAGTACTCAAATAATTCGATGAGCTGACATTCTGAAAAAAAACATAGCTAAAAGAAAATAACAGGATATATAGTTATAAGTCGCTCAATGAGCCTGCAAGTTGGCAAGGCCTAAATGATCGTGGCCGGCATAAGTAACTTTGGTTTCCGAGGGGGGATATTCGAGATTATCAGTCCCTTGAACTTAAGCAAAGAGAATCGTCCTTTTGATAGTCCTGGAATAGAGTAAGTGATGGTATGTATAACTTGATGAAAACATTAAATAATCGTAGGTCTTATAGGAGAATCGGGCATTTTTGCAATTGCGATGCCCTTATAGGTAACTAAGATGTCGGATAAACGTCTGGGAGTGTATCAAGACAATGGTTCAATGCTAGAAATCATCAATAATATGGCAGAGTACGCAGAACCACGACATTCCACAAGGTCGCTCTGTCACTCTGACTAAGTTGAGAAAGCGAGGTCAAACCGATATTTTATAGCTCTTAGTTTGGGATAGGCCAGTAAACTAAGTCGTATGAATTAGCCTACCGTTAGTGAAATCGGGCTAGAAGCACCAAATAGTGGGGCTTTCTCTATTGGATTAAATATATATTATTAATAATTTAACTCAGATTAAGAGACAGTTTAATTAAGATCCTTTAAAAACGGTTTTTAGCAATGAATACAACAGTATTACAACTCCCCCATTGGTAAAATCTATATAATGAAAAGTCAAATATTAGTTGTAAAATATGCTTAGTTCCGCCCTCAGGCCAACTCCCCCAAGTCCAAAATAAATAGTAAAAATACATTAGGATCACAATAAACCTATTTTTAATGCTTGGTCTACAGCCCACAAGGTGGTAAAGAAACCAATTAAAAAACTGTCCTCCATACTTTATCATTAGTCAAAGCAGTTGCCGCGTAGTCCGACCAAATATTTGAAACTAGTTCAACAGCAGGACTTGCTTCTTAAAATCGTAATCAAACGTCGTTCTGAAAATTTCTTATTTTGGAATTCCTTTCTATAGTGCAATGGAACAGTATATATGTAACAATAAGACAGGCCAAATAATTTGTAGGAAGGCCAGATCATTTGATTTGGGCCATACCAATCACAACATAAATGCATATACAAAAAATAAATGAAGGAAAAAATGTACATATAAAAATAAGCAGTTAAGGTACATTAACATATGGAGATAACCAGGGTTTTGAAGAATTCCTTAGTGATGTATTGTGACATGACTTTCCATTTCGAACCACTACCATCAAATACACTTACTCAATCATCTGCAAGTATATAGAGTAATTTTGAGGTAGCCAACAAAATCATAAGATACCTCATTAAGATTGCAGATTTGGGTATATAAAAAAGGAACTATGTTTGCAGGCAGCCACCTTTTCTCTTGGTTTAGCATATCCTTTTTTTATTTCGTAAAGTATAGATTCTTGCTTTGATGATGCCTGTCACAGTAGGCAAAAACTTAGCATAGGTTTATCGGGGTCGCAGGACGATAAGCCGAGGATTTATTCTCCTAATATAACAGTTTTTCTTATGTTGTAATCCTCCATCACACATTACGAATTCCTTCCTACCAACTTTTTCTTCAAAATGGAAAGTCAAGACATATTAACACGTTTGGCGGAATCTATATCACATTGTGTGAACTATTTTATAATATTAAGCTAATTGCGGATGAATTTTTAAATGTTTAAAGTGTCGTAAAAAAACCATGAGCACTCATATTCGTAGAGAATTGTTTACAGGACTAGCAGTAAGGGTTATAGTCATCCTAGTTAGAATGTGATGAAGGATCAATAGTTGAATTTTTTTTCTTATCCCAT